AACCGCACAGCTGGGCCTGGGCGCAGGCACTAGGGCCTGACCGGAAGCTACTGGAAGCTTCCCAGCCAGGCCACACACAGCCAAAGAGAGGCTGCCACTTCCATATCGGGAGGGAGGCAGCCAGAGCCAGTCATTCTGGCCCACGCAGGCAACGCGGTCACGCTGCTGCGTTGCTGCGCGAGACGCTGCATGCTGCGCTAGTGGCCAGGGCGCATGCGGGCGCTTGAGAGGTGAGAGGGGTGCTGCTGGGCAGCGGAGCGCGAGCAGCCATAGCCGGGCTGCAGGGCGCTAGGGGGTAAGCGGGCGACCGGTGGTCTTCAGGAAGGAGGCGAGTGTGGGTGGTCAGGGTCTGATGAGGGGAGACGAGTTACGCACCTGGTGCATGAGGGAGGTGGGCTTTGGTGTTGACGTCATGTACATTGGTCTTCAGAGTCGAAGTAGCCTGTTGCGTGAATGCTGATGTCGGTAGGATAGACAAGTAGTGTAGGCTCGGCGCTGGGCGGCAGACAGAGAGGAGCAACATTGGATACTGTGTTGGTGTGGCCTGAGGGCTTCAATATCGGTTCACGAATTCTTTGTATTGCTCTTATTTGGATGGAATCTCTGTGCATTTGTGCTCTCTTGTTGCATACTAGTGAATACTTCAACAAGTATGAGCAGAACCAAAGATCAACCAATATAGGATGAGCATGTATGCAGCGGAAGTCTGAGAAATGGACTGACTCACATAGACTGAACTCATACAGATATACATATATCACTCAACGCACAAACAATCGTGAGATGGTGGGGTCTGAGCCAACGATGCTCAGGCCCCGTACAACCATACACAGATGAAAGGTGGGAGGAGAGACGATGGAGGTGGGAGGTATAGGCAGCGCCAGATGTCACCGAGATAGAGTCCAGTAGGTCACCGATATGGTAGTCCAAAATGTCATTGAACAAGATCAGAATGCCGCGGACAATAAGTCACCAATGTCGGACATACAGAGTCTTAACGTAACCGGTGTCCAATCTGTGATGCCGCCGAGTATCAATCCCAACAATCTCCAAGTCTCGAATCCGGTAAGTGTCACAGCCTCTTACCACCGAAGTCCCAACACGGATCTCTGTCCAACTCGTAGCTAAGTCTTCAATCTGAGTAAGAAGAAGATGAAGAATGAGTCTGAAGAAGAAGAAGAAGAAGAAGAAGAGTCTGAAGAAGAAGAAGAGTCTGAAGAAGAAGAAGAGTCTGAAAAGAAGAAGAAGAATAGTAGAAGACGACGATGAAGATGGAGATGGAGAGGAGAGATGGGAAGCTGGGAGGGCCTCAGGCCTAACCTGCAGGTAACAAGCTGGCGCCCTGGCAGTGGAGGGAGATCTGCTGCAGGTCGCGGGGGCTATGGCGCTCCACGGTCGCAGGTAAGTCCCTTCGCTCCTCCTTGCTCCTCCTGGACTGCAGTGCGCTAAACTAGCGCTGCAGTTCCTAGCGCTGTGCCTCCTGAAAATAGCGCAGCGCTCCTCTGGCTGCTCCTCGTTCCAACCTTGGGAGAATGGCCGCTGGACCGGCCTAAGTACCGTCCGGCGGCTGGTCGGCCTCGATGCTGGCCTCCTGCGCCGTGGGCTGAACCGTCGAAATGTCCGTTCAGCCCAGACCGGCGGGCGGCAGCCTCAAGAGCGCCGCCAGGCCCAAACGGTCATGTCGTTTGGGCCGACCTGGGTCTGCTGGCGCTGGGGTCCAACCGGTGGCCTAATAGGGCCTACCGAGAGAAAAAGGCCTGGCCTTTGGCGAGGCTGGCCTGGGTACCCCTGAACCGGTGTGTCGGGCCTGTGGAGGCCCGTGTGAAGTCGCAGAATGTAACATCTCTGCTTGTACACAACTACTTGGACATCTGTGTGATTTCGCAACTTGGCTTTCTGTATATCGTTCCCACTAATATTCCTTGCAATTTGGTATCGGAGCTGGTTCGTGATCGCCACTTACCTGGCGCCAGCGACATTGTTACTTGGTGCGCTGACGATGCTTCTGTACAGTGAGGATACTTTGGCGCTGGCTTGTTGAGCGAGACCCGGGTAGAGGGGTTCACCGCTGGAAGGCTGTGGCGACAGCGTGGGAGCTGTGGCAACAGCGGATGTATGTATGACAAGATTAGCCAGCGCAGCTCCGCCCGCGGCCAAAAGGGTTAGGCGAAGTAATTTCATTCAGTGGATATGAGAGGTGAGAGCAGCTGACAATAGAGAGTAGATGAGCCTAGAGATTGCAGTACAGCGAGAGAAGAGTAGACCCAACAGAGAGTACAGGAATAGAGAGCAGAGTACAATACAGAGAAATAGAGAGTAGAGTAGAGGGCGTCGAGCAGAGGCTGCAGAGTAGAATAGAGTTGAATTGGAACTCCAGAGCAGCATCGCCTACAGAAAGAGGGTCGTAACCCGCCGTGAGTGGACTAGACAGTAGCATAAGGTGAGACGTGGCCAGAGCGAGAAAATCAAGACGGATGATGAGCTACGAAGAGAAAGACGGGGACTGCCGATCCAGGGGCTATATTTTTTCATTTGTTTCCGGGGGGCACAGGCCTGACCACAGTACTCATCAAATTCACGTAAGAAGAAAGATATGGCAGTGCATCGTCGGACCTTGTAGCTGAATTTTCCCATTTGTCGTGAGTTATGCAGAAAGGGTCATACCTGCGGTCGTAAATCGGCCAGAAGCATCCAGCCAGGGCCTAAAAAAACAGGGCAGACGTGTCGACGGAAGTCGACAGGGGACCTTTGAAGTTAGCTGGAGATGGAATCAGAGTCACATCGATGCAGTGTAGTCTGTAATAGAAGGCAGATAAGGCCAGGAAACTGCTTCAGCTGAGTATGCCGTGATGCCTCGGCTCATGCCCCAATGTGCGGGCGTTTTGTTTTTGACACTTTTGTTGTTTTTCCCTGCCCAATATTATGAAGGAAAGCAGCGGTGAACCATCATCATTCAAAACTGACCCTGTCGAAATTGCAGCCGGATTTTGACCCGTTAGAGTCATCGGCAGATGAGTTGTTACACCAGGAAACCTATTTTCTATTTTTTACTGTCAGAGTGATTGGTCTGCCGTCGGGTCAAAGGGTTATGGTATAGCAACATGAATATATTTCACGACAGGAATATGTTTTGAATATTAGAGAAGAGCGGCGGGAAAGAGGTGTATGGAATGCAGCGGCGAGGGAAAAGAAATGGGAATAGAATGAATCGTAAGAGTGAAACAGTCCAGGAACACAAAGGACCTTTGTCATAGATACGGGAACATTTTTTTTTTCGCAAGGGGGAAAGTAACATGCGAATTAGTGGAAGGTGAAAGCCTTCCGAGCACGAGAGGAAGTTGTATGGACGCTTGTTGAGGCTTACATGGCGGGCATGACGGTTTGTAACAATTGGAGGGCGAGAAGGAGGTGTAACAATGTGATCGAAAAATATTCTCACTTCCAAAACCACTGTCTGCCCTCCACAACCGAACCATCGGTTCTACCTCGGCTAACTCCTGGCATAGACCTCACTGTGTCTGCCTCCACTATACAACGAATGGCTTCTATAAATATAAATGATTTATATATACATATACAAACATACCTGCAGAGAGTCAGAGTAAAGGGAAAGAGAGCGAACACATTGTGAATACCTCCCTTCTCCGATCCAATTCGATACAAACACTTTTCTGAGTACTGCATTCCTCCGAATGAAGTTAACAAACACATAGGAGGAATGCAGTACTCAGAAAAGTGTTTGTAACTTTGTATCGAATTGGATAGGAGAAGGGAGGTATTCACAATGTGTACGCTCTCTTTCCCTTTACTCTGACTCTCTGCAGGTATGCTTGTATATGTATATATAAATCGTTTACATTTATAGAAGCCATTCGTTGTATAGTGGAGGCAGACACAGTGAGGTCTATGCCGGGCGTTAGCCGAGGTAGAACCGATGGTTCGGTTGTGGAGGGCAGACACAGTGGTTTTGAAAGTGAGAATAATGGGAGAAGTGAAAGTGCGGGAGGGGTGGTTAAGGAGACAGAAGTTCTATTGCTAGTTTCGCGAAAATGCAGGTGGATATCCAGGACAGTTTAGTGAGTCCAAGTGGCACTGGAGGCGAAAGGACATGGTGCAAACCAAGATGTCAAACAGAGTTCACAACAAACGAAACACATGAGATGGACATGACACGGAGCAAATGGAGATGTGAAACAGTCCTCATATCAAACCAAAAGCACTCACAATTAGGTGAAAACACACCGTACGTGTCGTTACAAAAGTCCAGGAGGGCACGAGGAAGAACGAAAGTTTTGAAAAGACGACAGACACAGAAGTCAACGCGAGTAGAAGAAGCGCAAAGGATTTCTGACCCACGAGTCCCAACAAAAAGCAACCCGTAGAGTCAGCCGAGGTAGAACCGATGGCTCGTTTGTTGACGGTGGACACACTGTTTTCGCAATTGGGAATAGTGGGAGAGGTGAAAGTACGGGAGCTCTGGTTGAGGAGACGGAAGTTGCATTGCTAGTTTGGCGAAAACGCAGGTGGATATCCAGGACAGTTTAGTGAGTCCAAGTGGCAGTGAAGCCATAACCACATGGTGCAAAGCAAGATGTCAAACAGAGTTCATAACAAACGAAACACACGAGATGAACATCACACCGCGCAAATCGAGACATTAAACAGTCCTCATACCAATCGAAAAGCACTCGCAATTAGGTGAAAACACACCGTATGTGTCCTTACAAAAGTCCAATGTGAGCACGTGGAGGGACGGAAGTTCGGAAAAGACGACTGAGACAGAAGTCAACGCGAGTAGAAGAACCGCAAAAGATTTATGATCGACCAGTCCCAACAAAAAGCAACGAGTAGTGCGATGCAACGATTACAAAGTACTGGACAGTGGGACGATACGCAAGGAGAGCCTGACCACAGATCCACGCCGGCGATGATCCACCGAATCGTGAGCCGAACAGATACCGGTACTGCTTTAATTGGTCGGATTGTTGTGTGACCCAGTTACCCGGAGGCCACGTTTGTTTGAGGAAGGATACCCGTGAATCCGCTGGAGAAGCATAGCAGGCAATTGACATACTTGTTCAAATGAAAGACAACACAAATGTCAGTTGAACATCTGAATTGATAACCAGGCGAGGAGTATACTCCCCGGGTCATGACGAGTCGGCGCAGGTCTAAGCGCTGTCATTGCTGGAGTCGGTGGTGTCGCTTTTGTCATCATCGGAACACCTGTGGTCAAAGTCCTCCTCCGCCTCGATATCACTAACATCGTAGTCTGTCACGATGTCCTCCTCCGCAATGGAAGATGTGTCGGTGTCGCCATCCCTCAGTATTTCTTCTTCACTTCGGTAATCAGCATCCTCATCAATGTCCCCAGAAGCAATTATTGCTCGCATTCGATTGACCTTGCCGTCACATCGTTGACGTTTCAACTGGGCTTCCTCGATCTGGTCACGGACCCGTTCAACTCTTGGATCTCCCTCCTGGAACCCTCGACTCAGCGGGCTCGCAAGCTTGGATTCTCGATCAGCTATGTAATGACGGTAGAGATTCTCCTCGTGCTCCGCGTTGTCAAGGATGGAGCAAGGGTCCCGTGCAGGTTTGGTACGCTTGGCGACATTCCGTCAAGAAGAAAGAAAGCGAAGACCGGGAGGTGGCACAGAGCGGAAGGCAAGGAGCGAGGAAGAATCCAGACAGAGCCTGGGGATCAGATCGTAGAGGACGAGGACGTGGGTCGGGAGAGCAGAAGAGTTACGAATGAGACAGCGAAGGTCAAGAAGTGTGTGCAGCTGAGCAACGGAGGGCGCTTATGTCCCAACGCCAGCACGCTGCCTAGACTGCCTAATTGTTAGATTAGCATGACAGATCCGAAGAGTGCGCAGTACAGAATGCGTATTAGAACAAAATGTGGGAAGACAGCGGTATCTCTCGACGGAAGTCCTATGCATAGGACCACAACCCAAGCAGGTACTTATACTGTCGGGTCTGAGATGAGCAGGAAGTACCCGTGTTGTGCGCCGAGTAAAAAAAAAAGAGGCCGAAATCGTGACAGAGGGGGCTTTACGTCACGGTCAGAACTCGAAGGATCCCCCAGCCAGGGACACACACAAAAAAAAAAAAAAAGAATAACTGAACAGGATGTGACATGCGGGGTCAGATGTGACTGTCGCAAAATGCAGAACCACCGCATTAGGGTAAGCCGGGCACAGAACCGACGGCCAGTGGACCAGAGTTGGACAGGAGAAGGCAATAGCAGTCGGGTCGGGTGGTTTCCTAACAATGGGCGTCGGGAATTACCTGCCAAGGAGCCAAAGTAGCATCAGGAGGTGCCATGGGAAACGGCATATGCGAGTTGTGGCGTTGGTACTACGAGGATGCAGTCTGAGCCCGGTATCGTTGAGCTCCTAAGGAGGGGGGGTGGGGGGCAGGGGAGCCGTCTTAATGAAAAGACTGGCCACGGGGCAGTTCGGCCGTACGGGGTGCAGTTCAGCAAGCCTGACGCGGGGTACCCAGGACACCATAGATGTTTTAGTAAGTGGTCCCACCCATCATGCTGTGCTGCGGGCAGATGAAGTCGACTGCAGCATCCACATACTCATGGAAGCTGTGAGTCTTGTCGTGTCCTTGGCGTATGTAGTTGACGAGGAGTGCTGCTTCCAGGGTACTCCAGGTGGTGATGTCGTTCTTCTTCAACTGCAGCACAGCAGTAACTTTGTGCATCCTGTGGCTAGTTTCTGCAGTCGAGAGGATGGACAGGGATTTGGCAGGACCTATAGAATGGAGCTGAGCAAAGCGCGACGGACCTAATTTTGTAGATGAAGAAGACGGGATGGTAGGAGCACTTCCACCAGGTGCTGGTGCAGTGGCGAGCGGGAGGGGGAATGGTGGAGGCGTTGGGGGCAGCCAGAGTCCACGTTGACCAGCATTGCTGGAAGGCAAGGAGCCCGGGAGCGAATCAGATGTTGGATATCCGATAGGCAGAGCTGCGTCAGGACCCTCCTGAACAGGGAGTTTGCGAAAGGCGTGATTTGGGAACATTTTTGGTGACGCCCAGAATGTGTCCAGGCCGTATGTTGCAAGCGCCTATCACAGGCCCTGACATAAGGCACCTCAGGGGACCCGTTTCTGGGCAGGCGACCAGCGAGAGTTGTCACTCGGGCATATCGGTAGAACTCGAAAGGAATATGGCATTCCCACAAATCAGGAATACCACTGACATAATGCCGCACCTCGGCTTGAGGCAAGGAGTCGTATTCTTTTTTGAGTATCAATTGGAGAGGCTGGAAAGCGTAGAAGACATGACCGCTATCAACAATCGTTTCATCACCAGTTGGGCGTATCGGCTGAAATTTTCGATGGATTTCCCCCCTTTGCATGAGGAAGTGTTTCCACATATTCTCATCGGGCTCACATTGCATATTGTTATAAAAATGATCAAAGAGTATGGCATTAAGAATACGGGCCTCTCCATACTTTTCCACCATATCAGTCCACGAAGAGAGGAGATGTGTGGTATTATTCAGCTTCACTGTCTTGGAACTGTCCAACCAAATAGGGGCGTGGACTGGCGTGTGGTGATACAGATATGTACCTCCCTGAATGTACTCAGGTTCGAAGTTCCACTCAGGGTGACATTTATAGTCCGGACGAAGGGCAAGAACTTTCACTGTGTCAGTCAGTAAAATGTGTGGCCTTGCAGGAGGAGGCATAGCTTTGC